TTAGAGTAATTCATGTTGTAGCTGTTGTTTGGTTGTAATTTCTGAAGCACATTCAGTACCTGCATCCTTGTTGCGCTTCCTCTTGGTGTAAATGTAGAGCCCACCCGCCACTATCAGGATGACTAGAGGCAGGCCTACCCAGGCAGGTGTTTGCAGAGCTGGGGAAAGGAATAATTTTCCGATCAGTTTGGTCATGAATAGAAGGTGCATTCAGCAGACAAGGCAACAGTAAAGTAATTCATGCTTACGGTCAACGGCACGCCACTTTTTTGATGCCACCCGAGCGCCCTCTCTGTGCACAGAGCATGTTATATCTTCGTATGATCGCACTGATGACTCTGGGAGAAATAACTTCTTTATCAGAGTATTATTGATATTCATTAATTCACTCTGCCAACCTTTGTGGGCACTTCCTGACCAAGTTAATTCAAAGTCTTTTTCACATTCTGTGGCACAGGTAAGTGCACAGGTCAAGGTGAGATTCTCTCCTCTGAGCCCTGCAGGCATTGCAGTTACTGTAAAAATGTAGAACATGAGAGATGAAACATCAGATATCGATAGCTATCTCTCCATCTCTCCATCTCTCTCTCTTTCTCTCTCATATTTGTATGTGTATATATATACACTTGCATCTACAAAGTTTTAATACTTACCATCAAGGGTATGCAGCCTGAATTTATTGAGCACATCTTTTTTATCAGTGGAGTGTGAACACTGGTAGTCTCCAGCATGCAGTGAGCTCAGTCTGCTAATGACCAGAGAGGAATCTTGATTCACATGTGATGCTTTTATTTGGCCATTATCAGGTGAGCTAGCATCTCTCAGTTGCTTTTCACGCAAAGTCCACTTCATATCAGGAGAGGAAGTGTTGCCACAAGTCAATAGTACTGACTCACCCACTGTGGCAAACACTTCCTCTAGTCCATCTGGGGAAAAGGGAGAACTGGTCACACTTTGTACGTACTGAGCAACATTTTTCATTTTGTGTACAGGCTGTGTAGCACCTTCTACTGTTGTCGTATAACTGATGGTGGCTTTAACAAGGTCATTCTGAGTTAGATGACATCTCCATTTTTTGTGGTGGTCTGTCGATTTTGTATCAATGATCAGTTTAGAGAAGCAATTATGTGGATGTTCAATTACAAATCTGCTTCCATTTATTGGTGTATCATCCTCAGAGCTCCAGTTGATATGAAGCTCTTTGCGGTTGAAACAGGGGTCAGCTCCTTTATTTGTACTGAGGTAACAATGAAGCTCCATCTTTTTGTCATTTGCAGGAAGTGACCTTTCAGTAACTGGTGGATAAAAAAAAGTGAGCATTGTGATATTTTTGTTTACTATTTCTGTATGTAAAACAAAAAAAACAAAAAGAAGGTGTGAAGCAAAAACACTTACTGCAAAGAATTCGAAGTGAAACACTTGACTTGAGCGTTCCACTCTTACACGTGTAAAGCCGTGCGTCATTGAGCACCAGCTGAGTAATCTGCAGAGAGCAGTCTTTGAGCAGGCGATACCTGTGGCTGCTTGGAGCTGTCGGTTTTTCTTTCTTTATAATCTCATCAGTTAAATTAAATTCTGCACTCATGTCCCAGCTGATAGAAGAACAGGTTTTGACAGAAGGGATACCACATGGCAAAGTAACATTATCTCCTTCTACAGCGACCATTAGCAAAGGGTTCCCTGAAGAAAATTACAGAAAAATGCATTTTTTTTAAATGAAAAAGATTTCTTAAAATCTATATATGCCATAAAATGAAAACTGTAACACTTGTGTACATGTGAGCAGTTCACAAAGGACTGAGTGAATATCTGAGATCACAATTATTTTGTGAGTTATTTTTATTATGGTTATTTTGCTATGATACAATATAAGGTAAAAAAAAATCAGTAACCACTGACTAATTATTTTTCTGTGACACCAACAAGTTTTGTCTCATAACGGTGCCTCGTGGGTTAGAAAACAATCAGAAAGGATGAAATCAAGCCATGTCCAAGAGGGTTTTACAAGGTACCGCGTGTGAATATATTACATCATGTGTATATATATTTATAGGTGTTATATGTTTGTTTAATTACCAGTTGGATGATGTCCACTTGCTGCCTGTGTGAGATAAAAAAGACAGATTACCAACAGTGAAAGAGAGTCCATCTTGCCGTTTCCAGATTTTCTCTGTTATTGCAAAATGCTCTTATAGCAGAAGTTTTGCAAAACACTTTTCCAGGAAATGACACATGAAGATCATGTTTAACTGAGGAGAATGACTCACAAGAGAAATTTATATTTATGTAGTGATCGACTCCGTCACGTTTATTCAAAATTGTCACAATCACTTTAAGTGTCGTGACTGTTGTGATTTACCTGTCAATTAAATTACTTTTAATAATAACGTCTACATTCCTTTTGATCACCAGGATGCTATTAATTGTGTAACAACCCAAACAGCAGATACTGCTGTATCCAGTCCTGTGGAGACTGCATTTTTAAGGTTTGTCCACCAGGTGGTGCTGTCAGATTCAGTGAAACCTGCAAAAAAGAAGGCTCTTTCACATTGTGGTGTCCGACTCCGTAGATACGGTAGAAGCCTGGGACTCCAGGTGTTAACAGCATTCATTTTTACGACTTTTTACTCCTCTTACTTTAGTTTTTCATTTTGCAAAAATATAATTACTTATATGATCATTGTTGTAATTTCCCTCCACTACAGGTGAACATTAATGAGCACCAACAGTACAGTTATTCTGTGCATTGCCAATGAAGAAATAAAAACTTTGGTTTGGACATTTTATTCAGTGATGGTGGAACAAATAACTTTGATAATAAAGTGTAAGAATAAATAAGAATAAGAAGAGAAAATATAAAT